CACCAGGTTCAAACTTGGTAAGTTGACAATAGAAGTACAGTCAACTAACTTTAAATTGGGACAGCAGGATTATGGCTGACATCACATCATTTGGACTACCTATGTCCTTTTCAATTTACACACGGCATCTATTGCACGTCTGTCCGTCCTGGGAGAGGGATCCCTCCTCTGTTGCTCTCCCTGAGGTTTCTCCCATGTTCCCCTTTAAACTGTGGGTTTTCTTCGGAAGTTTTTCCTTGTACGATGTGAGGGTCTAAGGACAGAGGGTCTAAGGACAGAGGGTGTCGTATTGTCATACTGATATTCTGTACAAACTGTGAAGACCACTGAGACAAATGTAACATTTGTGATATTGGGCTATATAAATAAACATTGATTGATTGATTGACATCGAGAAACAATGCCAGAAACTCATTTCTGTGACAAGACATTGCGTAAGATATTGAAATAATATATTTCACTGGAAAATATTACCCACCAATTCATATGAAGTGTATGAAGGTAGATATGGTGCAAAATGCGAGAGCGTGTAAAAGCTGATGTGAGCACTTGCAGAAAAAAAAATCTGAGCTTGTGTGCATACATTTACACTTGTATAAAATATCCACGTAACTGTGAACCAAATCTGAAGTCACAGAAGAAAAGAAAAAGTTTTGTAGCTTGTAGAAAAAAAATTGACTTAGTAATGAAATGTTCACTTGCAGAAAAATACATATTTTTTAAATATATTTTCCATTACAACTGCAACTTGGTTATTACAACCTCTCAAATCAGTCATTACAACTTGACGAATCTGCTCTGTGGCAGTATACATCAACGAATCTGCGGTCTTGACTTTTGCTACACTTCTTGCGATAAATGTGTCACAAAAGTAATTTTCACCTGTAGATGTGGGGGAGGGAGGGGGGTTGGAGCGAAGGGGCGGAGCTATCAGAACGACGAGGCTCGGGTCAGTTACACAGTCACAGCCACAGTCAGGTCGTACCGGATGACTGCGGGGCTAACGGTTCGTGTCGCTACCAGTCCGCTGACATGGTAGGTACATTGATTTTGCCCATTACTTGCCCAGTATTACTTTGAATATTATTATTGTGATTGAGAATTAAATCCGCTTTGAAGACCACCGTTTTATATCATGCAGTTTAGCAGCAAAATAACGTCAGTTAGCCAGCTAACGCTAGCTTTGTTGAGTTTATGCTAGCTAAACAAGTAGTGGTTGTAGTCTACAGCAGTAATTAATATATTATAGCCTACTGCTTTGGCACTAACGGTTGATAACCGTTTATGAAAATAAAACCAATTGAACTGTACTGAAATAATGACAAGTTTTATAATTGTCTTGGGCTCCTGCTGTGTTTTTAAAGCCTTTGTAAATTATCCTGAGCCTCGTCATTCTGATAGCTCCGCCCCTTTGCTCCAACCCCCTCCCTCCCCCACATCTACAGGTGAAAATTACTTTTGCGACACATTTATCGCAAGAAGTGTAGCAAAACTTAAGACCACAGATAAGTCGATTTATACTGCCACAGAGCAGATTCGTCAAGTTGTAATGACTGATTTGAGAGGTCGTAATAACCAAGTTGCAGTTGTAATGGAAAATATATTTAAAAAATATGTATTTTTCTGCAAGTGAACATTTCATCACTAAGTCTAAAAAAAATTCTACAAGCTACAACATTTTTTTTTTTCTTCTGTGACTTCAAATTTAGTTCACAGTTACGTGGATATTTTTTACAAGTGTAAATGTATGCACACGAGCTCAGATTTTTTTTTCTGCAAGTGCTCACATCAGCTTTTACAGGCTCTCGCATTTTGCACCATATCTACCTTCATAGAAGTGCTACCCTGAGCTGTGTGTGTGGCAGTGTGTGGGGGGGAGGCGCTGCTGAGATCCACAGGCAGCTGCTTTGATCCAGCCAGCTATAGAGAGCAGAGCTGAAGTGATTCTATTCCCTCTGCGCTCCGCTCAATACACTATTGATCTGGGTGGGAGCATGGGGAGAGGCAGATATATGCTCTTATTAGCAACCCCCACATCTTACTGAAACATGGTACGGTCGGGCCTGCCCTACAGGACCTATCAGCCTCTGCTGTTCATGCACCCCCCCTCCACATGATCTCATTAGCAGCTCATGAAAGACGGCCCAGGTCCATATCCTGAGAGCAAACACATGTGTAGAGTGTACTCGGATCAATTGATGGCATGTTCAAAATGGTAATGGTGTTAGAATGAGACTGCCCCACACATGAGTACTACGCATTATTCAGACCCTCCCTTCAGATGTTATGAGTCTATTGGATGGACGTTATCAGCATCATAGGGATTACAAGCGACCTACTATAAAAGATGTAGAAGGCCGTTATCATCTATTCCCATGGTTAGTCACTGATAGGTCACACACACACACACACACACACACACACACACACACACACACACACACACACACACACACACACACACACACCACACACACACACACACACACACACACACACACACACACACACACACACACACACACACACACACACACACACACACAAAAGAGTCTGTGTTGAGAGGAGTACACACACAGGGCAATGTCAGCTCGCCCAGCATAGGACTTTTGTTTTTGAGTGTTTTTTTTATTAAAGTGTGTTAAGTCCTTTGAGACATAACTCGATGCATAGCAATGTGTGTGTAGTGCTAAGGAGTATGGGTGAGAAAGAGAGAAAAAAAGTGTGTGAGACGGCGAATACAAAGTCAGCATAATACAGTAGTTGTGCATATTAGCAGTACAGTGTGTTTACAGAATATACAGTATGTCAGTGAATACATGCTTCAAGTCCTCAACAGCCAAGTTCCCACTGGTTGTTTCTTTTGCAATCTGGTCATTAGAGTTCACATGAGCATATATCAGATCATATATCATCATCAAGGACAAACATGTAAATATAGTCCTTTATACTTTTGTAAATAGATTAGATTATAAATTAATTTATAATCTAATCTGACATTGAGTTGAATCCACAACCAATGAAGGCTGTTGAGCTAACCATGTATTAGCAGGTCACAAAGCCAACAATAAAAACGGATACTTTGAAGTTCTGTACAAACGAGCTGAATGCAGGGAGTCATTGCTCATGCCTAATTGTTGTGGTTTCTACACAGCACATCCTGCAGGAAATGGACCTCATCATGGAGAATTGATTTGTCGGCATGTGTGTGCATGCACGGCCAAGTGTCCCTGACGGCATGTGTGCTCTTTATATGAGCGATCTGAGTATGTTCCCGCCCAACATCCAGTCATTGCAGTGACGCTCTGACAGGAAGTGCAGACTGCTGCTGTAATGACCTCTCCCAAACCTTCCCCCCAATTATTGTTATCATGTCAGCCTGCTCAGCTCCTATTCAATCAGACCTGCACTCACACAGCTCACATACTAACACAAACAGCTGACTACTGTTTTTAATTCAGCCTTTCACTGTAACTCACACTAAGGGAATATTCTACTAAGTGTTCATTTCATCTTGCGCATAAGGGCTGTGTGATTAATCAAATGTGATGCTCAGTTCCTCCAATCAGCTCTCCCCCCTCATCTGACTGTGTATTTCACAGTAGAAGCTTTTCAGGGTACTGACAGCACCGGAGCCATAATATAAAAGTCACACCACAATCTCAACAGAGATAAAAGACCACAGTGAAGGGTAAGACACTCTAGTAGATGGAACGTTTCTGGGTAGAGGGACCATTGGGTTAACTCAGGAATTATGTTAATTCAAACTAACCTGGACTTTTAACTTTTAAAAATGCGTCAGCTCTAGCACATTCAAGTGCTCAGCCCAAAGACTGTCAGAGAAGAGCAACCAGAAACATTCTTTAGATACAGTCCGAAGTGATTAGAGAAGGAAGCTTAAATAAAATATAGCCTGATTAATAAAGGACTTGGGGAAGGACTTGATGAGAGCTGCAGGAGTTGGAGGAGCCCTGTTTATGCAGTGAGGTTCCCATCACATGCCCCAATAGAAGTTGAATAAACCTGGTGGCAGCGGCAGGCGTTCAGGGACTCGGCGTGGCGGAACAGCATCCTCTGTCACTACCCCCCGCCCCACCAACCCTCATTCCCAACTAGCTTTCCCTCCAAACAGCAAGGGATTTTCTACAGAACATCTGAGATGTTACAATGAAAAAAGAGCCTGCTCGGCATTTCTGCAGCAAAATGGAGATGCTTAATGGTGATAATATGAAGACAGTACAATCCTCTGCTGAAGGGTCAACATTAGCACACATTGCCCGTCAGCTTTACAAAGTTATAAAACTGTTTCAATATATTATTGAACAATGGGGCTGAACAATTCATCCAATATTAACAGTGTTCCTTTTGGCTTTCCTGCATTAAACGAGGATGATGAACTCATGAACTCATGTTCAACAATAGTAAATAAGGTTTGTTTTAATATTACTGCTGCATTATGCCACAGGTTAGTGCTGTGGACTTATAGTTTAGAAGTGTGAGCTTATTTTGACTCCTTTAAATACTGTTGGGTTGTTTACCTAGCAAAACGAATCACAGAAAATCACCATGTGTCTGTGGCGTTCTGCGAAAATCACTCGTTCTAAAAAAATCGACTTTTCATTTGCACCCTAAGCATCACCTGTTTGTACAGCCCAGCAGCAGTCAGGTGTGTTGGATCTGAGGAGCAACACAACATCCTCACTCTACACTGGCCTCCTCTAATTCTCTATTCCTGTTATTTTTTTCTTCACAAAAATTGACAAATTGACATTAGTTTTCCCAAGTTCAATTCAATTATATTTGTGTTTACCCCTTCATCTCAGACTCAGAAACTGAACTGTTAAGGGACACTTGGTATTCAAGAGACCTGACTTTGCATAAAAGTCAGGTTTCCCCCAGCTGTCCTGATGTGACCCCCCCTCTCTGAACATCAGAGGGAGGCGTCCTCTCAGAGCAGTGTCTTATCTAACACACACACACACACACACACACACACTCACCCTGTTAGGACCACCACAAAGTCCATTGCATTCCAGCCGCTACGCAGGTAGGATCCTTTGTGAAAGGCAAAGCCCAGAGCGATGATCTTGATGCCAGCCTCAAAACAAAATATTCCAATAAAGTAGGGCTCTGTGTCATCCTGTTAGAAAAAGCAGAGTAGGGAGGATCATGAAATTATACATCTCTTGCTGGTTGTGTCAATAAAACGTGATTGAGCCAGTCTATGTCAGGCTATGTATATGTCTGTAAAGGTATGGACTTGAGTCCCACAACTTGGACCACATTCGATGGCCATAGACTTGTCCTGACAAAAATCGAAAAGTCTGGCAACTCAACTCAAATTTCAACACAAACGCCATTTGGGTTTTTGATGGAAACCATTGGTCGGTTATGATACATAATTCAACAGAAAGTGAATTGGCAACCATTTTAATGATAGCAGCTTCTCAGACACCAGGGTCTGCTGTTTCCTTATCATGTGTACACATCAGCACTGAAACCATTTCAGTGCTGATGTGGCTTCTGAGAAAGGTTGACTTAACAAGAGTAACCTAAGGTAATGATACATTTACAAAAGATCAACACCTAAAACGTAAATGTAATTGCCAAAAGTGAAACGCTAACAGTTATATTTCATTTTGCAACAGGAAAAAACAACACAATGATACATAGAAACTGTTTGAGCTAAGGCAGTTTGTGAGAGCACACAAGGAGGATGAGAAGGCAGACTAGTAATGACTCTAAAGTCACATTTAGCCAGGAATTGTTTTTAAGTTTATCAAAATGTATAAGTGGGGTATTTACGTTTTTTCTTTTGTAGAAAATATTTGAAAACCTCTTAAGTGACTGTTGACCACTGAACGTATTTCAGCCATTTAAAAGTCATAGAATTCAGGACAGGGAGACAGAAGTGGCAACATGCAGACTCATTTCAGGCTTTAAAGACTGATTCCTGCAGAACTCGATGTAACACAAAGACTGGAAAATAAGGGGGGGGTAAACAGGGCACATGTTGATCTCATGATTGCAGCAGACAGACACGAGAAGCATCACAGATGTCAGTCAGTAAACTATCCTTTCCATGGATGAGACATGAGGAGCCTACAGGAAAAGGAAGCGGTCGTGTCCACTCACCAAGCGCTCGGACATGGGGGTTTTGTCTGAGGCCGGCAGGTGCTGCTCCAGGGCCAGCACGATGCAGTTTGCTATAATGGTGGCCAGGATCATGTACTCAAATGGAGTGAAAGTGTTAAGGAACTTCCATGGAAAGCATACACAAAGGTTTATAGATATGCAAACACACTCCCACCACAATACATAACAATTTTCAATGAGAAATGGAAAAAAACATCATTGTGTTCTTTGCTCAAAATGACAGCTTGTTTGTTTGGTGTCACACCCATGCAGTTTGCCACCGCCTAGAAGCTGTTTGCTGGGAGTTCAGCACCCTGGACAGCTCCACCTGCAGCCTTCATGAAACATCAGGGATGTAAACCTGCGCAACGCTGTCATCATGAAGTACATTAAGCAACCAACAGCCTTGATGTACTACTCTCAATCACAACCCACTGTCAGTCAGCCGGTGTATAAACGGCATGATGCCTGTTGTGACCAGCAGATTGGTAATAATTCATCAATGAAATATGAAAACATTATGCCGAACTACATCAGAAATGTGGCTCTCTGAGATGATCTTCCTGTCAACAGACGAGCCGGGGTGCTTTGATGAAAATGGTAAGAGCTGAATGTATATCAACAGAAGATGAACTGAGGAGCTCTCATTCTGCAGCAGCACTTCCCTCTGTATTTAAGGCTGTGGAAACACAAGGAGAACCAACTAGTTTTACATTTCACTGATTAAAACGCCTCTTTGCATATTGCACATGTGCTGAATGAAAATATATATCATTTAATTTGAGATAGTGTCCGAATTCTTAGATGTATGTATTTTCTACAGGTAAGCAATGGGCTTCTAACTGACACATTCCCGCGGAGCTTGGCTGAATGATCCCGCGGTAGAGCCGGGATAGAACCTCTGCTGGTCGGTCTGACTGACTGTAAAGGATATGGCCATTCGGTGATCTTTTTGGCATATTTCCGTATGATGTTATCCTCACTGAAGATGAACAGAGAGCGGTTAACGGCGAGGCAGCTCTGTTTGACGGGGATGGGGTTGTAGATCGCCATTGTCCGGGCTCTCTGGGCCATCGTCTGCTTGTACACCCTCGGGACCCCCGGCAGCCGGCTGACCCCTCTGGTCGGGCCCGCGGGGCCGCAGCCTCCGTAGCGGCCGGCCAGGTCCTCTTCAAAGCGAGCCATGGTGGGAGGGAGCAGGTGTTGCTCGAGAAACCAAAACGGACCCCCGGGATGAGATGGCGCATCACAGCGCCCCGTCCCCCCGGTCCTCTAGCTGCGGGTACCACGTGCACCAAAGTCACACATTAACGGGAAACAACGACCCTCACTCAGTCTCTGCTGCTGCCCATGACCTCACTCACGGAATTGTTGCTTAAAGTGCAGCTGCTCAGATTCCATGATGCATCATGTCCTACCCATAGGTCCTACCGCGTACCTGCCCGGTGCTCGCGAGGTGCTGCTGGCGTCAGCGCGCGAGCTCCATGCTACAAGAGGCTCCTCCTGAAGCCTGGGGAGAAAGTCGGATTAAACAGCTGAGAAAATACCGCGAACCGTCAGCACGACGAAACAGGATAATTCCTTGAAGAAAGCATCCATAAAATACTCTTGTGTTCCATAGCGACCCCTCTCATGTTCACGTTGAAGACTGAATCTGAAGCAACGCGCGCCACCGTTATTATCACTTTCTGTTTCTCCGGTACCGGAGGAGAAGGCTCGGGGAACAGGTTGTTAACGTGATGCAGACACACTACTTTCTGCACTGCTCCTTCAGAGACCCCACGTGACCGACAGACGCCAGTCAGGCTCCACCTGGACCGGCCCTGTTTCCATAGCAACAGGGAGGAGAGTGCCACACCGGGTCAAGTTACACAAATGTTAGCAACATTTAGCCTACGCGATAACTTCCAAAATAAGAGCAAGCCTGTAAACAACCAATAAAGCTTTAAATACCAGTTAAAAGTATGTTTAGTAAAATAAAACTGTTAACTGTCTCATACAGAATTATTATATATTATATACAATATGTTTTAGAGTGTATTAGAGATCATTCAGTAAAGCTATTCGTAACTCAGTTCATGGGGACTCAGGGGTTATTAGAACTGGATTGTCAAACACCCCCTGTGATGTGGGTTACAAAAGACATACATAGTTTAATGATGATTTCTCTCATCCTTACTGGACAGCTAGGTTGATCAGTGTTATGTGGTTCTGATATTTCAATGTTTTAACTACGGCCAGAAGTAGCCTATATGGAAACCACTGTCCATGTAATTTAGAGGATCTTTGGTCTGTAGCCGGTTTCCTGCCTTGGCCAGAATAAAGGAGAAAAGGGATTAAAAAATGTAACCTGAAAAATTATTATATTTATAGCCAAAAGTATGTTGACAAACACATCGCGTACTTTGGGTCAGTAAGTTGTTCCTTGTTCGAGTCCATTAGTGTCAATATATGTTTCAGTAGTTTTTAAGACAACACACTTCTTCACACCGAGTGTCATCAGGTTTCTGTTCCTCAATGCCAACTCAGAGGACATCATCCCCCGACTGAGGCTGGGGCTGTGTGAAGACAGAAGCTGCGTCTCTTCTTTCTATTGGCAACTATAATTCATTCATAAAACAGATCCTTTAAAAATGTGTTTAACTGCTAGTTAGACATTTAGTAAAAAGCATGTTTACATACGAGATCAGACTATCAAACCATTGCATTACTTCATTAATCCACCAGTATAACACTTGACAGTTTTCAGAGTTCATGACTGTTAAAACCTTATTTTTAAAATGCTAGTTGAATCCACTCTCACAGACAGTATTTCTGGCTGAGCTGCAGTGTTCTTATAGAAAAGTGTCATTAGGTCTGTAAATAAGTAGGAACATGTGCTCTGAGATGACATTTCCACAAGCTTTATTCCTCATGTGTTGCTTTTGAACAGGGAATCTAGGTGAACAGTAATAAAAAATCAGTCCTATGTGGTATCAGGTTCAGAAGACAGTGTTTCTGACATTAAAGAGGTCCAACAGAATGAGTCCAGGCTGTGAGGGGGGGGGGGGGGGGGGGGGGGGGGGGAGGTCAGTGGTCATCAGTGAGATTCTCTGCTGCTGGCGGAGTGGCGACACTTGAGAGAGCCACACTGGCAGCTGAAGTACTTGCTCTTCACCCTCCAGTAGTGATCGCCATAGTCAAACCTGGTGAGGAAGAGACAGCAATCCATCAAAGGAACTTTATAGCTAGCACTTGGTGGGGACACTGTTTTCAGATTGAAAAAAAACACCAGCGGCCCCAGCAAAAATATACAGTAATGTAGGCTCGCTATTTGTTAGCTATGCATTAAAGGGCATGCTTCTTGAGGTTTTCCCTCATATTAATCATATTGGTCCAAACTACACCACTCTGGTTCAGAAACACACCCAGAAAGTGAGAACAGTTTTCCAGATTTAAATGTTCACTGTGCAAATAAACCTTTCTCCAACTTTTTTCAGAACATTTTAACAAATGATCCTAATGCAGAGTTATGGGGACAAAATTGGCAGTTTCTAAAAGTGCTGGGGACATGTCTCCAGCGTCCCCAGTATAAAATACACCTATGGTTGCTGGAGGGGAAAATGAAGGCTGCTCCACCACTCACCCTATCTGGTCTCCAGCCTTGATGGAGCAGCTGGAGAAGAAGGCGATCCTGGGGAAGCGCAGGTCCTGGTGCATGGTGAACACGCGGACCGCCAGCAGGGTGGGCTCACACAGGTGGTTGATGAAGCGCCCGATGTTTCCAAAGAGTCTCGCATCAATACAGTGAACGTCTCCAACCTGCACAGTACCGTGAGCAGACGGAGCAAACAATGGGAAACACGTGCAGGGAATATGTTCTTCACGATATGCTGCCCTTTTTATTACTTACTTTTTTTTTTTTAAGAACAAACAAAAGTGAAAAATATGTGCAAATGGGACAAGGAAACACACACATTCATCCCCAATGGAAAGGCTACTGCAAAATGATCTCTGCTTTTACTATTAATGCGATTGAGTAATAAATATTTTATTCTCTTAAATACTGACAACACAAAATCCTAAAATAATCTTGTCATTAAGACAAGTCTTTTTTTTCAGAAAATGATTTGCCCCTCACATTAGTTTTGTATAGCTTTATTAAGTGACACTTATTAATGATTGGTCTGTCTTTCTCGGTCTGCAAAGTTAAGCTCTTCTTGAGAATTTAGAATTAAAAGAGTTTTTCATTTGAATAACTACTCCAGGAAACCATGGACTCTTCCTGACAGCAGTGACAATGGTTTTCCACGGTGCTTCCACAGAAACTCCAGCAGGCGGACTCATTAGCATAGTTAGTGTGGTACACGTGGGCACAGGAAGTTGATGTTATTATTTTAATTAGATTTAACTGAGCTAATCTTGTTACTGGTGTACCCAATATTGGTTGTTAGTCAGAGGTGGGAGAAGTACTCAGATCTTGTACTTAAGTAGAAGTAGTAGTACCAGAGTGTAGGAATACTCTGTTAAGTAGTGCATTCAAAAGGTTACTCAAGTAAAAGTACACAAGTATTAGCATCAATATATACTTAAAGTACCAAAAGTAAAAGTACCCAACATATATAATTATACTTCAAAAGAACAACTGGCTATTAAGGAATCAAAGAGACTAGTCCCCCCTGGTGCAAACAGCTACCTGTCATCATGAGCTCAGCTGGTGTGGGACAGCCTGAGGAGTGCAGAGACAGTTCAGTTCAGTTCAGTACAGATCTGCAGTATTGTATTTTGCCGTATTGTTTTAAGTCTCTTGTTCTCGTGTTTGCTGCCATCTTTGCCGGGACTCTCTTGTAAAATAGACTCTGAATCTCAAATGCGAATATTCCTTATTATAGTCCTTATATCCCTAAATATATAATGTAGCAGGCATGTATAGAGAACCATGTTCAGGTTTGTGTTTTTTCTTGCTTCTGAAGGTATTCTTATAAACAGGGGTGCACATAACTTTTTGCCCTGGTTCTCAAAGGAGCACCTGGAGATGTTGCTTGGTGCTCATCCTTAAAATGAAATAAACCGTAACTTTTGAGGGGGTCTTGACTTTATTTGCCAGACACACGGCACTGAACACACATGCAGAGGTGAACACAGAACACACATGCAGAGGTGAACACAAGACAACATTAGCACGACCAGTAATCCTAGAAGCTGTCATCACTACCCTCCTGACTGTTCTCCTCACTGTCTTCCTCTCTGTCAGACATGGTAGCTGATGATGTAGGCCTACTACCTTCTCTCTGGTTGAGTCTGCGATTAGCTGCTTGCATCCACAAGTCAACAGCTGGGTTTGGGTCGAAAGTCTCTGTTGTCATCTTAGACAAGTGGATGTAATCAAATAAGTATGTGAACATAACCAATAACCTACCATAGCCAATAACAAATGAATGTAACTTATTTTATTTATGTTGTTCATTCATATCTTATTTTACCTTAACATTTATTTATTTATGCATTTTTTTGTATCTCTCCAGTTTTAAAGGATATTTTTGGTTACTGTCCTATAGTATACATTGGAATGATTTAAAACCTGTTTTATCCCAATCATTATAAAGGAGTGCCTTGGAAATATGTGTTTACATAAATTGTGATCAAACCGTTTGAGACCCACTGAGATAACTTAGACTAAAGTGAACTATCTAAACACTCAGAGTCCTTACCTCACTGAGCTGTAGTTATCAGCCTCTCAGTCTGACTGGAGAGGACTCTCCCTCCACATTATTGTAGAAACATCTTCTTCTTATATCCGTAAAAATATAGAGCAGCTAGCACCAGATTCTAATAACAACAGCGCTGGTACCGGTGCACCCTCCCTCTCTCCCACGCTCACTCGCACTTTGGCTGCGAGCTGCGGGCGCCAGATAAGCCAACATCCCCCATTTTCATCACTTACAGCGCCCATCGTACAGGGCAAATGAAAAGTGTAACCGGGGTGAAAAGGGTGTTACATTTACTTAATTATGAATATTGTTACATCAAGGCCGAAAATTAGGATGAGCCCCAACGGTCAAAACATTTGTTTCCCTCCCAGAACTGTCAGCGCAGCGCCTCCACAGATCTGGTGCCCTAGGCGAACATCTATAACGCCAGTGCTACGGGCCGGCCCTGAGTTCATATGCAACTCGCAAATATCTTTCTCTCTCTCCTCTCCTTTCTCTTCTCCCTTCTCTCTCTTCTCTCTCTCTCTCAATGTTGGTACGCAAATGCGCCTTTTTTCAAATGACCCAGTGCTCTTTTTTTGGCAGAGGTGCGCATGCGCACCTGCGCACCAGTTATGTGCAGCCCTGCTTATATACTAACAAAGGGCTGGCTTATCTAAAGCCAGTTGAGTAGCACTTGAAATGTTTTGGCTCTATGAAACCTGATGTATTTATATGATTCTGTTTTCTTCAGTTTGTATCTTCTTGGTCGAATGCACTTATTGTAAGTCGCTTTGGATAAAAGCGTCATTTAAATGAAATGTAATATTCTAAGCAGTGCCTTGTAAAACGTGGGCGGGGCACTTTTACTCGTGTTACTCAAATAAAAGATTAGGATTAAAATCCATTAGAGTTCAACTGAATCCTGCCTCAATCCTAACCTAAATACTCAATGTTACCATTCTCTGTGTGACAAAAGTACACTGTAAACATAAATATCTGATTACATGAAAGTAACAGCAGCTTCACACGTGTTCTCTGAGTCTTCCCTCTTATTGAAACTGCATTTTCTTCTCTTACCTCACACAATGACAAGTTAACACTTTCATGCAATTATGTCTCATACCAGCCAACTGCAGCTGTTTAACATTCATTAAACCGAGTTAATCACCTTATTGTCGAGGGTGAAGAGGAAAGAGTCATTCTCTCTTTTATCGGCCTCTGCATCTGTGATGATCTCTCCGACATACCTGTGGAAAGATGGGGGGGTATTAGAGCTGCGGTTCAGTATTGCTGTATGCTGTAAAACAATGAATTTGCTGTAGGCCTGTCCTCACTCGCAGATGAAGGTTCCCTGTGGGATATCCTGCATGGCCCTGACTCCCCAGCCCATCCTCTGAGTCCTGAAGAGCTGCAGCCGCAGTCTGAAACAAAACAACACAGTGATCATCCACCAGCACACTTCAGAGGAATATTAGCACAGACAAAATGACATTATATGTGTTTACGGAAGCACAGCTTCAAGAGAGAAAAACAACACTTCAGAACCAAGCCAGGCCAGGCCAGAGGAAATGTAACCACCTGCCAGCCACACAAGGAGCATATAATATATAACACGTTTGGAATGATGATTATTATTTATTGGATATGTACTGTATATGTAAAGAGAAAGCATTAAAGCAGCATAATGGTAATTATCAAGCATGTACATTCTTTAAAAAGGAAATAGTTCCTACATAAAACTGCTCAAAACAAGGTCTTATCAAGGATTATCATTTGTGACAGGGTCATGATTTCTGAAGAGAGACATGGCTGTGGACATGTTCAAATGTATTTTGTGTGGCTTTAAACCCCACAAGCCAAGAGCAATTGAGTTGTATTACATAGAGGAGAAAGCAGACTTCTCTCTGCTGATGTCTCTAACACCGGCCTGGTTCAGGAGGTAGAACAGTCGTCCTACAATCAGAGAGCCAATGCGTCTGTGTGTGAATATATAGGGCTCCTTATGAGCAGGTGGCCACTTGTATAGTAGCCTCTGCTGCGTAAATGTGTGTGTAAATGCTGACATGTAAACATGCTCCGAGTGGTCTCAAAGACTAGATTTATCATAAAGGTGGCTGCATTAGGCAATGTGGAAAACCAAGAGAAATTAATCCGATTTGTGATGTGGTGAACAAAGACTTGTATTTGAAATGGAGCTGCATTAAAAGCATCACAAATTCATGGTGATGTAAGACACAATTGATACTTTTAACCCAGGGGTGGGGAACCTTTTTCCTCTCAAGGGCCATTTCAATTTTTCCAACATCCTCCGAGGGCCGTACAAATTGTTGACCTCTACTTAAAAATACTAAAATCACAGCCCATTCATTTCACCTCTCTTTCATGCTGTGCAAAGAAAAAGCAACCTCTCAATCCAGATATCTCACCATGACTCGCACATGCATTCACGTGCACGGTTGTGGCATGACCACCAAAACAGAAAGATATGGACACAAGATGTGTGCAAATTAAGTTTAGTTTCCTATCCATGTGAACATGATTTAAGTGGGGGGGGGGGGGGGGGGGGGGGACCTAACCTCCTCTAGGGGGGTCTGGGGGCATGCTCCCCCGCAGAGGTCGCATTAACCGAATAATTTCCGTCTATGACGGATTTTTTTTAACAATGACGGACAAATCTGAAAGCAGTCAGTCATTTTGCCAGATTAGAACAAACTCGGAACAGCGCCAAAGTTTCCCCGCAGCGAGGCTCCGGTTTTATGCCATGTTATGCATGCCCTCCAAAAAGGAAATTATACCGTTTCCAAACCTAACTGTGCCGTACAAATCATTGAAATGTCTGTGAGTTTTGGCTTTACGCTGTGCACGCTCCCGCGAGGTGCAGCAGCCATGCATAACACGGCGCATGTGAACTGTCCCTCCCCCCCCCCCCGTTGACAGTTCACGAGCATGCTTCCCCCCCCCTCGTCAGAGTTGTGTAAAGGCCAACGGGTAATTCTGGATTTTGACGGAAGTTTTACGATCCTGTCCGTCAAAATGACGGGCAGCGAAAAAGTCTAGCACAACCTCTGCTCCCCCGGGAAGATTTTTTTTTTTAAATATTGAAGTTAAAAGCATCAATCTGGTGGACTTTGAGAGAAACATTAAGAGATCTATGGATACATCTCTCAACACCCATATGAAACAGCTGTAAGCAGATTTACTTTTTCTTTATGGATATTTTACAAATCACTCCCCTTTCAAACTGTATTCTTGTTTATTAATAACAACTTTTTTTTACTATCATAGTATTTTATACCTGTACTTTATTCTCTTGTTTTTTGATAACTATAATGATCATATAAAGATGTGCCTTTACCTCACTGGTTGTAGAAAAAGCTTCTTATATTCGTTAGCATAGCTAGCTAACCAGATGCTAATAACAACAAAGTTATTGACTGTATGATCAGTATGACAGATGAACAGATCACCACTGGGCTTTCAACTAAAGACACAGCCACGCAGAAACTGCTGCATGTGTACGGCTCCTTATGGGTACTGCCATTTCTGAAGTGCCGGAGCCGCGTTCTGGTGCTCTCCGTCAGAACTGCACCCCTGTCAGACGAGACATATACCACGTGATGACACGTTAGGCTCGTGTTGTGTTCAAGGACCCTGAACTTGGCCAGGAAAAACAGGCACTCGCTTGTTTAATTATTTTGCGGTCTAGATTTCTTTAATTTTTTCTTTTTTGCGTGTATTTATAAATTACCTCGAGGGGCGTACCAAATGGTCTCGCAGTCGGTATACGGCCCGGAGGCCGGAGGTTCCCCACCCCTGTTTTAACCATTATTATAATGATCATGCAACCAAATAATCTTTGAGTAGTGTGCCCATGTTGAGCTGTGAGGAAGAGGAAGGTCACCTCAGGCCGTTCTGCACCACTCTGTTCCTGCAGCTCCTCAAGCAGGAGCAGGCGTGGTTACACTCAAACAGCACGGGGGGCTCCCTCTGACAGAAGTCCAGGGGTAGTCGACCCTCCTACAAATACACCAGGAGACATGTTACACACTGCTACCAGGAACACACACGTGTCACTGTGCTTTTAGAGTTGTTTTTAAAATAAAATCAAACTTCAATTAAAGCTGTGTGTGTGTGTCTACTTACTCCATCATACCAGCAGCGCAGACTGAGCTGCCCACACATGCAGCTGCTGGAGGAGCAGTCTTCTGTGCAGCTGCAGTGCTGAAGGACACAGACATCAGTGAGTTATCAGGTATTATGACATTTAGCTGTTTTTTCTCTACATTGCTGGACTGTTTTTGAAGTCATTTCCTGGACATGTGAAAAGAAAATAACAAATAGAACCAGCAGGCCGGTCAGTGTTGTTCTCACTCAAAAAAGGCTTCTGGTGATCTCGCACGGAAGACCTGGTAACACTCACACAGCAACAGTCTGACGTCAATGTGACCAAGACTGCTTATATTACATATTTTTCTCACTGTCAACAATTCAATTCAATTCAAAACCTTTATTTATCCAGGTAAAATCCCATTGAGATCAATGATCTCTTTTTCAAGGGAGACCTGCAGCAGTAGGTTCCACAAGAAGACATAAACAACAGAACAACAAAAGGACATCATACAGCAAAATGTACAGGGATTACAATTTACATATTTAACAAATCCCATGATAAGATCAAAGGAGATGTATCAGGCTTTGAAACACACACACACAATACCTGTTAGGAGATACATTTAGTATTGACTTGGATCTGCTCTTGTGATGTTTTGACAATAGAAAAAGATAGAATATTACTGATTTATTCTTAAAATACACACAGAGTTAGGGCTCACCTGTAGATGAGTGATGTCTCGGTCTATGTTCAGGGCGGAGGTCACACAGCTGTCAGGGATGTACTTAAAGTTTTCCGGGCTCGGCTCGCTGTCCACACTATTAACACAGGCAATAGGAACTGCCTCATAACCTCGTGAAATGTCCCTGAGAGAAGGAAACAATTTTTTTTAGAGCCGTCAAGTTAAAGCGCTAATAACGCCACTAATTATTTTAACGTGCGATTAATGCATGTGTATTTGTCCTCAGCCCCGCCCCGTAGTTTCACATCATAGCGCATTATTTTGACCCACAGTGGGAACTTCAGTCTTATGCTTTGACTGTTATGAAGACAGAGGAGCGGCATTTCGCCAACAACTGTAAACAGGCTTGTCTGTTTGAGCAACTGGCTCAGTGCAAAGAAGTACACAGGGTTGGGAGAGAGTGTAAGAGAGTATTCTCCTGAATATTCTCAACACAACAACCTGGATCCTCTCGATCCAGGTTGTTGTGTTGAGAATATTCAGGAGAATATTTGTCATTGTTCCAATGATAATAAACAAACATTTGCATAAAGCATATTTGTCCACTCATATGTTGATAAGAGTATTCAAAACGTATTCCTCTATGGTAAATTTAGAACAGATAAAAAATGTGCGATTAATTTGCGATTAACTATGGACATCATGCGATTAATCGCGATTACATATTTTAATCGACTGACAGCCCTAGTTTTTTTTTTTTATCTCATTCAATAATAATGGGAAAAAAATATATATATATATATATATATATATATATATATATATATATATATATATATATATATGCATTTAGATCTGCATTGAGAAAATATATAGAAAAATACAAGACTGTGAAAAGTAGCAATTCTACAATTAATGACTAGTGGATGAAGTAAATCATGCATAATAAAAGTTTCGAGTTTGAAAAAAAAGTGAATTTGGAATGCGTTTGTTTTAAAAACACATTTTAAATGAATGTTTTAATTCTCAACGGCAATAATTAAATGTCCTGAGATAACTCATCAAACACTAAGACATTACCGGTCTGGAATATTTATTTTATAATTCAACATTATATAACATCCACGCATGAAAACGGGTCAGGGGTGAAAAAGGTGAGAAGGATATTATCCCTCTGGGGGGGTCCGGGGGCATGCTCCCCCGGAAGAAAATGTTGAATATTCCATATTTTAAAGCATCAATCTGATGCATATTGAGATGCATTTTTTTGCCAACCTGGGGAGAGCTGGAGAAACTTAACTTCAGCCATGAGTCAAAAATATTATGGCCTCCTTACTAAGTATTATCAGGGATGCAAACTCATCAGGTATGGAAAAGGTGACAAGGACCCGAGCCCCCCGACCCCACGGAATATCAGCTTTAAAATGAGGAATAACAGAGGATTTTAGCAATCAGAACAACTAAAGCAGCAGTGTCAATAATAACAGAAACGCTAAAGAGTCACATCTAATAGAAATATATAAAAGCATTTATTTTAATTGTGTCGCAGTCAGTTTATAATTTTGGCAGCACTGTTGAGCATTTTGAAAATCTATTGTCATGCCTCTGTGCAAGGCTTAGTCTTTCTATCTTTATGGCATCTGGTGTAAAGTAACTAAATTCATAAACTCAAGTACTATACTTGGGTACGATTTTGAGATACTTGTACTTTATTTAAGTATTTCAATGTTTTGCTACTTTGTTCTTCTTCTCCTCTACAGTTCAGAGGTAAATTGTGTACTTCTACTCCACTACATGTATTAATACCTTTAGTTACTTTACAGATCTGGATGAATGATGTGAAATATAATCAAGTGTTGAATCAGACTTTAGTTCCACCTGGAGTAAATCCACAAGCTACCCTGCAGTATACAAAGCCATTCAAACTAGCTGCACCTTTACCAGCTTTGAGAACACTTTCATGATCAATCATTATAAAACATATCATATATATTATTCTGAAATGGACCAATCTGCACAAAGACTACTTTTACTGTCGCTACTTTCACTATATTTTGATGAGAATACTTTTCTACTTTACTTGAGGAACATTTTGAATGCAGTACTTTTACTAACAGAGTATTCCTACACTCTGGTACTTTTACTTTTACTCAAGTACAAGATCTGAGTATTTCTGCTTTTAATCAAGTACAAGATCTGAGTACTTCTACTTTTAATCAAGTACAAGATCTGAGTACTTCTACGTTTACTCAAGTACAAGATCTGAGTATTTCTGCTTTTAATCAAGTACAAGATCTGAGTACTTCTACTTTTACTCTAGTACAAGATCTGAGTGCTTCTACTTTTACTCAAGTACAAGATCTATACTTATACCACCTCCGTTTATAGCCTATGAAAAAAAAACTATTAGAAAACGAAGGCTAAAGCTAACGTTAGCAGATAGTGACAATGTATGCTAGCTAGCTAGCTCAACGATAATATTGCGACAGAAAAACGTTTCAGTGCACATCACGCTCTGCGCTCCGACAGTGAGCTCTGCTCTGAACACCTGAACGGCCCGTTCTAACAGCTGTTCACCAGCGGTCCAGTCTGTACCACAGTGACTCCGGACCGCACAGTTAATATTAACGAACGCACCCGTAGGTAATGTGGCTGCTGAAGCTAGACCATCATCGCGGAGCAGCAGAGCCGACAGGCAGGAAGACTCAAGCACACAGCTCGCGCTGCATTATAATATATAAAAAAAGAACACCATGCGTGTCATGATGGCACATAACAGCTCGCGGCCGCAGATTACTCCGGGTCCCAGACCTCCCCATACCCCAAAAATATTTGTATTGCAGATCTACATGAATCACACAAACGACCTATTTTGGATTCAAAACGGCGAATTTCACCGAAAGGTGAGTGATTTTCATGCCTGAACATTATATTATGAAGAACCAGCACCTTACCATGGTGGAGAGGTTTGTGTGCCCTGATGAACCTGGGTGCTGTGTTGTCTGGAACCTTGTGTTCCTGGTAGGGTCTCCCATGGCAAATTGGTCTCAGGCAAGGGGGCAGACTAAGATTGGTTCAAAAGAGCTCATGAAAGACGACACAGGAAGTGAGGATACCCGGCCCGGAGGAAGCCCGGGGTCCCCTTTTGAAGCCAGGCCCAGAAGGAGGACTCGGCTGTGAGCGTCTGTTGGCCGGGCCGGGCACAGCCCGAAAACGCAACATGGGCAACACCTCCGGGTGACAGAAGCTGGCTTTGGGGACGTGGAACGTCACCTCTCTGGGGGGGAAGGAGCCGGAGCTTGTGCGGGAGGTGGAGCGTTACCAGTTGGATCTGGTTGGGCTCACCTCTACGCACAGCGTCGGCTCTGGAACCTTACTTCTGAATAGGGGTTGGACTCTATTTTTCTCCGGAGTTGCTCAAGTTGTGAGGCGCCGGGCGGGTGTGGGGATACTCACAAGCTCCCGGTTGGGTGCTTCGTTGTTGAAGTTTACCCCAGTGGATGAGAGGGTCGCCTCCCTACGCCTGCGGGTTAGGGGGGGAAAACTCTGACTATTGTGTGTGCTTATGCACCAAACAGCAGTTCAGAGTATACAGCCTTCTTGGAGACCCTGGAAAGAGTCCTGTATGGGGCTCCTGAATGGGACTCTTTAATCTTGCTGGGAGACTTCAACGCACATGTGGGCAATGATGGAGACACTTGGAGGGGCGTGATTGGGAGGAACGGCCCCCCTGATCTGAACCGGAGTGGTGGTTTGTTACTGGACTTCTGTGCTAGTCATGGATTGGCCATAACAAACACCATGTTCGAACATAAGGATATAATATAATTGGGAGGGATGAAACCCTCTTTAATGGTCACACATGCAGAGCACACAGCACACAGTGAAATGTGTTCTCTGCATTTAACCCATCCTAGTTCCAGGAGTCTAGTACTAGGAGCAGTGGGCAGCTATTGTACAGCGCCCGGGGAGCAATGGGAGTGAGGGGGGAAGGGGCGTGTCCGGTGCCTTGCTCAAGGGCACCACGGCAGGGCGTGAACTGGGACCTCTCCAAGTAGCAGTCCACACTCCATATTTTAGGTCTGGTCGGGGACTTGAACCAGCAACCCTATAGCTCCCAGTCCAAGCCCCTACTGACTGAGCCACTGCCGGACTGCTCATAAGTGTACGTGGTACCAGAGCACCCTAGGCAGAAGGTCCATGATCGATTTCGTTCGGGTAAAGAGAGGGGCGGAGTTGTCAACTGATCACCATCTGGTGGTGAGTTGGGTCGAGTGGCGGGGGAAGCCTCTGGATAGACCTGGTAAGCCCAAACGTGTAGTTCGGGTGAACTGGGAACGTCTGGAGGAGGCCCAAGTTCAGGAGGCCTTCAAATCACACCTCCGGCGGAGCTTTTCGGGCATTCCTGTGGAGGTTGGAGACATTGAACTAGAGTGGGCGGTGTTCAAAGCCTCTATTGCCGAAGCCGCGGCGGGGAGCTTTGGTCTCAAGGTCTTAGGTGCCTCAAGGGGCGGTAACCCTCGAACCTCCTGCCGTGGCTGAGGCAAAGCAGCGGGTGTGGGGGAAGTTCGGAAAATACATGGAAAAGGACTTTCGGGCGGCACCAAAGTTGTTCTGGAAAACTGTCCGACACCTCAGGAGGGGGAAGCAGGGAACGTTGGGATGGGATGGAACGTTGTTGACCTCAACTGATGGAGTGTTAAAAACGTTGGAAGGAACACTTTGAGGAACTCCTGAACCCGACAACTTCGCCCTCTATGTTGGAGGCAGAGCTGGAGTATGACGGGGGATCAACACCAATCTCCCGGGGGGAGGTCACTGAGGTCGTCAAACAACTCCACAGTGGCAAAGCCCCGGGGGTGGATGAGATCCGCCCAGAAATGCTGAAGGCTCTGGGTGTTGAGGGACTGTCATGGTTGACACGTCTCATCAACGTTGCATGGAAGTCGGAAACAGTACCGAAGGAGTGGCAGACCGGAGTGGTGGTTCCCCTTTTCAAAAAGGGGGATCAGAGGGTGTGTGCCAATTACAGAGGCATCACACTACTCAGCCTCCCCGGGAAAGTTTACTCTAATGGCGCATTTCCACCGCAGGCCTCGCTCGACTTAGTACGGTTTTGTTAGGCCCGACTCACTTTAATGCTGCGCTTCCATTACAGTTTAGGAGCTGGGGCAGTAACTATAGTAACGCAGTGTAGGCGGAGCCGTGACGTGATCTTCAATGAGCACCCCAGAAAAACAACATCAGCCATTAGCTGTTAGCACTCAAGCTCACAGCTCCTCATATCTGTTCAGAAACTAGACAAAAGTTAAACAAGTACAAACCACAGACTCTCTGTGGCATGGAGAATACAGTCGCTGGTTTATTTATGTCTGTATAGGCCGTTGTTGTGAGTGTGGAAGGTCGGAGCATATATTGCGTTAGCTTAGCCGATCTCCATTTAGACAACAAATCAAATCAAGTTTTATTTATATAGCACATTTTTAAACGATTTTTGGTCGAGCCAAAGAGCTGTACATATAATAAAAATAGCCTACAGTAGAGACACTTTACAGCAAATACAACAGCACAGTTTGTGCAGAATATCAGTATGAGAAAACGACACCCTCTGTCCTTAGACCCTCACATCGTACAAGGAAAAACTTCCGAAGAAAAACCCACAGTTTAAAGGGAAAAATGGGAGAAACCTCAGGGAGAGCAACAGAGGAGGGATCCCTCTCCCAGGACGGACAGACGTGCAATAGATGCCGTGTATAAATCAAAGAGATAATACATTTTACAGCATAGGTAGTCCAAATGTTAGGAAATGCATGTGTCTGTAATAAGAAGATGCATCACGCATTTTAAAAGGGTTTTTTGCCTGCCGTCTGTCTGCAGACTTGTCAAAGCATTAATTCATGGTTTTTACTAACCAGTATCAGTATGTTGTTACTTTGGCATCATTTTGAAACGTGTATTACAATTAAATCACGGTCAAATATGTTCATCTTGTTGTAGTTGTAGCCCCCTTGCCAGCGATTCTCTCTAGTTTAGCAAACTCAGCCCGACTCAGCCCTGTTTGTTGGCCCCGATAGAACCACAATTTTGTCGGGCCAGAAAAAAGGTGAAAAAGTAGCCCCGGGCCGGAACTAGGCATAGTGGAAACGCAACCAAAAATGGGGCCGGCACGACACGGCACGCTTAAACCGCGCCATGGTGGAAATGCGCCATTAGGTACTCGAAAGGAGGGCCGAACCTCAGATTGAGGAGGAACAATGCGGATTTCCGGTGAGGGTTGGCCTCCGCCAGGGCTGCGCTTTGTCACCAATCCTGTTTGTAATATACATGGATAGGATTTCGAGGCGAAGTCGTGGTGGAGGGGGTCTGCAGTTCGGTGGACTAAGGATTGCACCACTGCTTTTTGCAGAGGATGTGGTTCTATTGGCTTCATCGGTCTGCGACCTTCAGCACTCACTGGATCGGTTCGCAACCGAGTGTGAAGCGGCTGGGATGAGGATCAGCACCTCCAAATCTGAGACCATGGTTCTCAGCAGGAAACCGATGGACTGTCCACTCCAAGTAGGGAATGAGTCCTTACCCAAGTGAAGGAGTTCAAGTATCTCGGGGTCTTGTTCTCGAGTGAGGGAACAATGGAGCGTGAGATGGGCCGGAGAATCGGAGCAGCGGGAGCGGTACTGCAGTCGCTTTACCGCACCGTTGTGACGAAAAGGGAGCTGAGCCAGAAGGCAAAGCTCTCTGTCTTCCGGGCCATTTTCATTCCTACCCTCACCTATGGTCATGACCGAAAGAACGAGATTGCGGATACAAGCGGCCGAGATGGGTTTTCTCCGCAGGGTGGCTGGCGTCTCCCTTAGGCATAAGGTGAGAAGTTCAGTCATCCGGGAGGGACTCGGAGTTGAACCGCTCCTCCTTCGCGTAGAAAGGAACCAGTTGAGGTGGTCCGGGCACCTAGTAAGGATGCCACCTGGGCGCCTCCCTAGGGAGGTTTTCCAGGCATGTCCAGCTGGGAAGAGACCAAGGGGTAGACCTAGGACCAGGTGGAGGGATTATATGTCTTCGCTGGCCTGGGAGCGCCTTGGGATCTCCCAGTCGGAGCTGGTTGATGTGGCCAGGCAAAATAAAGTTTGGGGCTCTCTGCTGGAACTGCTACCCCCGCGTCCCGACCACAGATAAGCGGGAGAAGATGGATGGATATTACAGTATAGAACAATAGAAACAGCCTTGTTTTTAACTTTTCCAATATTTTTAGAAAGTGTTCCATAGCCTGGAGATGGGAGCTGACATCAGCAATATGTATTATAAACAGTTCTATGTAGTATTAGAAATTAAATATTGACAAAATCACTAGATAACCCTAGACACACGCTGTGCTGCTGAGTACCTGCTGAGCACCCTCTCTCCGCGGCAGTCCCTGCCCCTGCGGGCGTCCGTCAGCTTCTTGTTGGTGCTGAGGGCCGTCCACACCTTGGAGCCGTACATACAGCAGTCCAGAGCCGTCCCCCCCTCCCTGTTCCTCTGAGTGATGTCCGCTCCACGAGACAGGAACAACCTGCAGACGGAAGATGTTGACGCAATCAACTAATGAGAGGGCTTTGAAGCTAAAACTGATATCTGCAGATAAAGCTGGACAACATTTGCCAGTAGCTAACACTTCACAGCATGACCATTGTGCCAAAACACGTAGAATGAATTAGGATTCAAACTAAAATAATTGTTGAGAGATTTTAACCTAACACTCAAAAATATACTCGTTCAAGAATTGATCCATCGAAAATGAGAAATACTGTAAAAATCTGTAGTCCTGAATTTGATAAAGGTGTGTGTAACACAAACAAACGTTGCACTCAGATCCACACAAACTCACATGACACACTCCAGGTGGTTCTCTCTGGCAGCCACATGGAGCGCGGAGTCCCCGTGAACGTTGACGGCGCTGAGGTCGCAGCGGGCCTCCAGCAGAGCCTGGGCCAGGTCGTCACAGCCCGAGAGAGCGGCCCAGTGCACACACACGTTCTCCTCCTGAACACGCACATGTGTTGGACAGGGCTTTACAATCACCTGAAGCCTAATTCATTCATCATTATTAATGTGACGACTAAATGTGCTGCATTGTATGTAGAACATTCTTTGGTCTAATTGTTAATGTGGTTTTCCTGACTTGAGGGTGGGTACTGACCTTGTCCCTGATGTTCACGTCGGCCCCTCTGGCCAGCAGTAGGTGGACCAGCTCCCTGTGCTTGTGCTCGATGGCCCAGGTGATGGGAGTCCAGCCCCCATCATCCTGCACACAACAGGCTGTAAGACTTGTGCTTTACACTTTACAAAATTAGCTGCTAGCTGCCGTTAGCCAATGAGGCAGTGCATGTGTTACCTGACAGTTGATGTATTTGGATGCCTTGGAGAGCAGATGATGGATTATGTCATGATGTCCCAGTTTAGCTGCCAGATGTAGACAGGTGAAACCCATGATATCCTGAGATTACAACATGATTCACATTGAACAACACTGAGCTGCTGCCACTACTGTGTAGTCCAGAATATTGTGCATTTCATTGGCTACTGCACTTAAAGTTAAACTCAAACATGTTTAAAACTAGACATTAAAACAGACATGATGAAGGGAAATGTGTCCAACAGTTCAGATGTGTCTGTGACGAATTGTCTCTCTGCTGAGCCGTAGAGGTTCATAAAATGTACTGGTTTTAAGACCTTCAGCTGACTTTAGTCAGTCCACTAAGTGATATTTAAAGTGGCTGTAATCAATCATAGGTCCATTTGTGCACTTTTTTACAAGGTTGAACGTGTTTGGTCATACAAAGGGCCTGAGCAATGGCAGCAGTTGAGAGTTATGGATTGGATTGAATGACTAATGAAGAAGCAGAGTTTGACATGAGCACACATCAGCTGTAGCCCTGAGAGATGCTGCTACCTTGTGGCTGACAGCGGCTCCGGCTCTCAGCAGGTACTTCACCGTGTCCACATGGTTGTTCTCACAGGCGGCCATCAGCGGGGTCCTCTGCTCCTCGTCACACATGTCCAGGTTGGCTCCCGCCTTTGTGTGCGCACAGACAGAAACACTTATGGAATTTTTACTATCTGATTCGAAAACGTATTTAGCTAATTTCACTCTTGAAAGATGTATAGAATATATAATGACCTTTGACAAAATCACCATTAGGCTGTGTTTTAAATTCAAGGGGGCTTGAATGTGTGATAAGAGAAGAAAATAAAGTAAAAAGTCTTGCAGAATATTTGAACTGCAAACTTTTGAACTAACTTGATGGCGAATGATCTGTCGCCATGGCAACGGTATTTGATGACACCCCATAATACGCTTAGATGTGTTGATGGCTGCATCGTTACCAAACCTGTGATGTTTTGGGTCGTTTGGATCATTTTCACTGAAGTTATGAGAAAACCGTGTTTCATGGCGAGCATTGTGTTGCCATGGCAACGGCATTTGAAGAAATATCAAAACTGTCACATAGATGTCTTCACGGCTGGACTGTTAGCACACATGTGAAGTTTGAGTCCTTTTTTACCATTTTCATAGGAGTTATAGCAATATCATGTTTTACGGCGAGGGATGCGTTGCTATGGCAACAGATTTTAAGGAAAACTCACAAATGGCACATAGACATGTTGAGGGCTGGACCATTAACCATCATCTGAAGTCTGGTGCTGTTTTGACAATTTTCATAGGAGTTACGACGACATTGTGTTTTATGGTGAGGGATGCGTTTCCATGGAAACGACATATGATGAAACCCCATAATTGACGTAGAGCTGTTGAGGGCCGGACCATTAACCATTATCTGAAGTCTGCTGCTGTTTTGACCATTTGCATAGGAGTTACGACAACATCGTGTTTTATGGCGAGGGATACGCATCCCTTCCATGGGAACGGCATATGGTGAGAACTCAGATTTGGCGTAGAGCTGTTGAGGCATGGACCAGTGATATACAGGTGAAGATTGGGGGACGATGGGACCGTGTCCATTGGAGTTACAGCGACATCGTGTTTTATGGCAAGGGATGCGTTGCCATAGTAACACCAGATTTGATGTAGAGCTGTTCAGGGCCACAGTGTTAACCATCATGTGATGTTTGGTGGTGTTCTGAGCATGTCAGTTGGAGTTATGACATCATGGCATATCTCCAACACACAGGTGTTTATGTTTGAGGTAACAACGTTATGAAACACCTGTGCTTGAGCCCAGAGATCAAAGGTTTCCATGGTGATGTGCAGTAATCAGTGATGCCCCTTTCACACCAACGAGTTTTCAGCTCCGGCTCGGAGCTGGAGTCTGAAAAGTGCCGGTTTTTCCTGTTCACACCGCAGCGGCGCCGCCTCCGGAATCCGGTTCACTTCCAGCTCCAAAAAATTGTCGGTCTAGAGGCAAGAGCTTCGGAGCTAAGAGGTGGCGTCGCTTACGTCTCCCTTACGTCGAGGCGTGCAGGAAACTAAACCCACCTCCCCTGAACATGGGTCGACTGTCATGCCTGCCTACAAGCAGTAGTGCTTATAAACACACTTTATAAAGTCAGGCAACACTAACCAGGCTTCGTGTGATTCTGTTTATTTGTACCTTACTTTGACCATCCGTTCACTGTTATTGATCATTGTGGAGAGAGGCAGACGTTCTCATTCATAACACTCCGTTCGATGTCTCACTATGGGATGCGCCTCATCGCGGAGCAAACGGAAGCATCAATCTCATTACGCCAATCCAGGAGGCTATCGACAACCCCGGCTCGTGCGGGCATTGTGCCCGTTTTCACCCGAAAGAGCCTCCACCGACGGCTAGCACACCAAGCTAGCTTGTTGGAACAGGACTCCCTCATGTCCACTGATTCGCCGTTTGGCGATCAAGACACGGGGGCGTCCGCCGCAGAGACTGAGCCCCTCACTGTGTCGGTCTGGGGCTCACTAACAGCGGCAGCTGCGGAACCGGGATCCCACGCCGTGTCAGGCCGGGACCCGGTGGCGGCAAGAGACGCGGGAACGGAGCCCCACGCCTCACCAGGCGGGAGCTCCCGGCGAGACCTCACCATGGTCTCGCCCGCAGAGGCTCGGCCTGCTCCACATACCGCCGATGGAACTGCTGGTGGCAGCCCACCTCCTACCGAGGATGGGCCCGTCACCAAGCAGGAACCCCACGCTGCCAGCGAAGCTGGACCGTTTCCAGTCGACCATGACTGAACAGTCCTACAGAGCTGCAGCATTGTCCGCCAGGGCTCTGAACGTTTCCTCACTGTTAACCGCATACCAAGCGGAGCTCTGTGAGGATATGTTGAGTACTCCTGGACCGGCCGTTCTGGATGAGTTGGCCGCGGTCACAGACATTTGTCTCCGTGTCCAACGCTGCGCCGTCCAGGCCACAGGCAAAACAATGGGGATCATGGTGGTGCAGGAAAGAGCTAGATGGCTCAACCTCACCAACCTCCCAGACCGGGAAAAGGAGGATGTGCTTGACATGCCCATCGTTCCCGAGGGGATTTTCGGCTCCGCTCTTGCCTCCATGCAGAGGAGATGCGAGTCGAAAAAGAAGGAGGACGAGGCCCTCCACCTCTGCCTCCCTCGAAGGGCCCAGCCCTTCGTCCAAGCTGCTCCGAACCCTGCTCGGTTCAAAATACCGAAAACGCAGAGGTCGCAGTCCGCCCCTCGTCCCCAGCCCAGGCAGGGGACGAGGGCGAGCTGGCTTAGAAAATATCCGGTTCCGGCTGCAGCCCAGGCGCAGCCAACCCAGAATTTCGGCCAGCAGTCGAGGAAGAAGAAGTGAGCGGCGTGACAGCCCCTCCTTCTCCCCTCTGTGACAGAGCTGGAAGTCTACGGTTCCCCAGCTCTAAATGTGTTCCCGCCGCCTCGAGAGATGCCTCAACACCATCCTCAAGTCCGCATAAACACATGTCACACACTTATTGATTTTTCTGTCATAAAACATTTTCCGCTGACGCATCCAGGCTTCGAGCCAAGGGCGCAGCTCGAAAAAATGAAAAGAAAAACAATAAAAACAATAAACAGTCCGTCAACTGTTCCCCTTCTGAGAGCAGCTACGGCCTCTCTCAAAGGGCGGACAATTGACGGGTCTGTGAAGGCACCACCGTCACGCGCATGCGCAGTGCCGGCTGGACCTGTAAAGGTACCACCGTCACGCGCATGCGCAGTGCCGGCTGGGGTCGTGAAGGCACCACCGTCACGCACATGCGCAGTGCCGGCTGGAGCTGTAAAGGCACCACCGTCACGCGCATGCGCAGTGCCGGCTGGGGTCGTGAAGGCACCACCGTCACGCACATGCGCAGTGCCGGCTGGAGCTGTAAAGGCACCACCGTCACGCGCATGCGCAGTGCCGGCTGGAGCTGTAAAGGCACCACCGTCACGCGCATGCGCAGTGCCGGCTGGAGCTGTAAAGGCAGTGCCGGCTGGGGTTGTGAAGGCACCACCGTCACGCGCATGCGCAGTGCCGGCTGGAGCCGTAAGGGCACCACCGCCACGCGCATGTGCTGTGTCGGTGGGGATTGTCGAAATGGGGCACCACAGTGCTCAGACACTGGAGGGCCCCATAACACAACAAATAGAGACTCAGAGGGGAAGAGACGTGACATCTCAGCTAGCTCTAAGGAGCATACAGCGGGAGATGCTCACGACATCTGCTTGGGTTTCTCAAGACAGTTACACGGAGCTACAGACTCCAAGTCACCGTCACCCCCCCTCGCTTCTCGGGCCTTCTGCATTCGCAGGCCCGAGGAGAGTCAGCCCATATTCTGGAGAGAGAGATTCTCTCACTCCTAGAAAAGAGGGCTATATCTATTGTACCCGCCGAGCAGAGTCAGGGCGGCTTCTATTCCAAGTACTTCCTCGTTCCCAAACGGGGAGGGAACGGAATTCGGCCAATACTTGATTTGAGGGCTCTGAACAAATATCTAAAAAGATATAAGTTCAGAATGCTCACTCACACATCTCTGCTGCGGCTCGTGCGACAAGACGACTGGTCGACCTGAAAGAGGCGTACATCCCAGTATATTACCCACACAGGAAATATCTGAGATTCGCATTTCAGGAGATCTGTTATGAATACAGAGTACTCCCCTTACTAGTGTTGTCACGATACCAACATTTTGGTTTCGATACCGATACCAAGTCAAGAATTGCGATTCCGATTCTTTTTCGATACTTTTCTTAAAAAAAAGGGAAACGGTCTTAAATGTAATTATTGTGATTATTTCACACCAGAACCATAACCATAACACAAACTTTTAAACAATGAGAACAATAAATAAAATAAATGACAAGAATTCGTATTAAATAAAATGAATACATTTCTTACAGAAATGGTGGTGTCCGTAGGCTTGCCCTCACTGTCAGAGATATAGCTAAAATACTTCCAAATTTCGCTTCTGGCGTCTTTTTTGTCAACAAGCCGAGGCTTGAATTCATGTCCGGGACTCTCACGGTATCTGCTGCCCGCAGCTGTTTTATAGAAGGAAAACCTCCTTCACTTCATGAAATGGCTGCAGGCAGCATCAGGAGGCAGCGGGACGTGTAACTCCGCTTCTGAGAAGTGCAGCACCAGCGCGCCGAGAGCTGTGCCTTTTTACGCACCGCCTTCGCTGTGTTTACCTTCATCAGAACAGCGAGTGACTGCAGGCTGCTACGTGTTAACCACACACATATCTACACACATCGAACTGCCTGATTACTCCCGCCTTTTATTAGTTTTATGAAGGGTGTGTGTATGTGTGTGTGTGTGTGTGTATATAAATGACCATGAACAGTAATTTACACACATCTGGCTAACTCCTATATGCGGGTGTTCCCAAAATAAATTAGTTTAATCTTAATCTCGATGTAGTGCTAAATGCTGTCGGACGTGCACCGGAACGAACGTCACTATCATAATATCTTCTGAAAACAAATGCCAGTGTCACACACACACCTCCTTCATAATGCGCCTTCTCCTCGTTTTCCCATCACTGGATTATCCGTAAATCATACAAACAAAACCAAAACGTTGATTTATCTGTTTTCCCGTTTTGGTTTAAAAATTGAAT